GGGTGACTGGTTTTTCCATCATGACAATGCCCCTGCTCACACAGCCCTGTCCGTATGACAGTTCTTGACCAAAAACGGTATGACCCCTGTTCCTCACCCTCCATACTCACCCGACCTCGCCCCGTGCAACTTTTTTTTTTGTTTCCTCGAATGAAAAGAGACATGAAAGGAAAGCGTTTTGCTGATGTTGCTGAGGTGAAGGAAAAAACGATGGAGGCGCTGTCAAGCATCTCAAAAGATGAATTTAGACAATGTTTTGAAAAATGGAATAAAAGACTAGACAAGTGTATTAGTGTAAGTGGAGAGTACTTTGAAGGGGATTGAAGGTTTGTGCTTAAAATTTGAATAAATAAGTTTAAAAAAAAAATAAGTTCAGTTTCTTTTGGGTACCCCCTTGTATTTTTAGCTTCTAACGTCTCATATACAAATAGTTTCAAACAATTTTTCATACAATTTGTTGGGGCAGTAACAACCAAAATCGTTTTACTTTGAGGGCTTCTTGCTCTGATTACCTTGTCCACCATTTCTTTAATAAATGAAGACAGCGTGAACTCTTAAACTTGCATGCTCACACATTTAAGCATAAAGACTGTCAGATTACACCACGTATAAATTTATTTCATTGGCAAATCGTTACTCAACTGAGTCAAATGGCAATGTTTTGCCAATATAATCAGTTTGTTCCATGGAAGCACTTACTTTCCTAATCACAAAATTTTTCATGAAAAAGCATACTTGTTCTTCACTTCATGGTATAGGCAGTCAGCCCTGTTGCAATTTCACATACTCATTCCATCCTTTTGAAGGTCTTTGTCAGTTTTATTGCCCTTTTGGTTTATACTGTAAAACCTGTTTTGATATTTGTTCATCAGTCATTCTGTTCAACTGATTTATCCAGTTTTGTGTGTACCCTTCTCTTTCATTTACCAGTCATGATCTGGTCTAAGTCTATCCTTTAGTTGCTCTTAAGTATCTCATCTATACTGACTATAAAGATTAAAGATTACACTGACTATATCCTACTTATGTCTCTTCCTTTAACTGTCCAAGATTCACTTCCATATAGCAAAATTGGTTCATCTTATAATACCACACATTCTATCATACTTAACTGAGTTTGTTACACAAATATTTGCTTAATGTACAGAATGAAATGAAATTTGCACAGAAGCTCATCATAATATGATTCCTTGTTAAAAAAATTGAATATGATACACGTCTGGAGACAATCGGTTTTCGAGATACAAGTCACCAACAAATGGGGTGACACTTATCAATAGTCTTGTCATGGCAATGCACAGTGAATTGATACGTGTTCTCAAGACACATAACGCACAGCAGTGGTCAGCTGTGATCATATGATCATGAAATAAATGCAGGAAGAATACTCTGACATGCTGTTAACCCTTGGTACCTGTAATAGTCAAGATGTACATACTATATTACTCTGGATATCATCTAGATGCTAATGTTTTGATGGTTCATTCAGCGTTTCTGTAAGACAGAAGTTAACACCGATTGCACCCCATTGTCATGTATTAAAATGTGGTCAATATTTCCAGACTTGGCCACTGTCCACAATTTGCAGTGGATTTGGTTAAGCATACTAAGTGAGGCAGGAATTTTAGATGTGTATGGGTTATACAGGACCTTATTAACAGTGTCAGCCTTCCTCCTACAGTCCAGATGCAACAACTGTCCTGCTACTTCGTCATACTTCTCACGTGCAATGCAGAGGCCACATGTAAAGCCATGGCCTGTGTTTAAGAACTGTTTTTGTCTTATTTTAATTCCTGGGTCAATTCTGTCACATGGCTGTCAAGGTATGTGTTAGAAGACTAATGATTAAGAAGCTGGAAAGAATATTTACATCAATATACTTGAACAGCGCAATTGAATCGTTGGTTCTTGGTTTTGGCTTCGGCTTTTTTAACGCCATGAGCTGATCCATGTCAGTATCATATTCGAGCATTAGGTGTCGTGGCGACTTTTCTCTGATCAGAGGAACACTGAAATTAAAATAAAGGAAAAAGTAGAGTAAATCTCTTTAGGTAACAGTTTCACTCTTCTGAAGAAAACTTCAATTAAAAATCATTTGTAGTATCTTTAAAGGAAGTAACTTTCCATAGGTAACAAGTGTCATTATAAACTAAACCTTCAGTCTGTCTATGAGATAGTGACTTTCATAAAAGAATTAAAAACGATTCAGTTATAGTTACTACACTGGGTCTACATTTATATCGTCCACTACAGGGCAGAACTCAGTAAAACACAAAGCCATTCTGAATACCAGAATTCAGCTACTGGCTTCAAATAAATAAATAAATTGTGATTTTGAAGCATGTAAAATATAGATTCCAAGAACTACTTTATAATAGAGCCAAGTAATTTACATAAATCATCCCTAGCTTCAAATATATTGGCCAAACACATTTTTGATAATGTGAAATGTTCATAAATACTTAATTTTTTTTCATGCAAATGTTATTGGTTACTACAGCTACTCCTTGATATTCATGGATCTTCTTCCTCTGTGATCACATGTGGTCACTTGGGTATTATTGTAATCGTCGTCATCGTCATCATCCCTGTCTATTATTTCCAGTTTTGCTGATAATGTTTGCATCATCAAACATGTTCACTGTCTGCTTCTCATTGTAATTTCTTCATTAATACCTCTTTAAAATTACATCTACGAGTACTCCATAAATTTTCATATGTACACTTTTTGTATATATGCATATACAGGGTGTTTCACGACTTTACGGCATAACTATAGGAGGTGATTTCCTAGGTCTTTGTAATCAAAAAAGTTCATATAAACATGTGTCCGATTTTGGACGGTTACGGAGTTATGACCATTTTAAACTCAGAATAAAAAGTAACGATTACTGACAATAAACAGAACAAAATAATACACCAGCATAATACATGATACATTTAAAGTATGAATGTAAAGTTAACTTCGTGAAATTTCCTTTACTTTAAATTTATTGGTGCTTAAAGCTGATTTTCGAAAGTGCCACCGCCGGCCGCAACACAGGCTGCCGCTCAGTTGTGAACCGTGCCGGACATACCAACCCACCTCGCCTTAGGTACTACATCTCAAGTGTTGAGATAACGAGAACGCTCTGTCTGTAGCTAGCTAAAGATAGCGACCCGACAGCTGACAGACGCGGTTCACACAAGGGCATGTACGGGAATGAAAAAACGGTCATAACTCCGTAACCGTCCAAAATCGGACACATGTTTATATGAACTTTTTTGATCACAAAGACCTAGGAAATCACCTCCTGCAGTTATGCCGTAAAGTCGTGAAACACCCTGTATGTATATGAATGTAAATGAAAGTTTTAGGAAAACTGTGATTAATCTCGGTATGTACAGCATGTGCACCAGCAGAGACTGGAAACCAGATATTTCTCACATGTAATCTGGCCTATGAATATATGCAATACCTCAGTCTCTCACTGTGTACAATATTATCCAAATTGTTCACTTAATACTCCTTCTTGGGGGCACTATGCTACAAGCCAGAATGTCACAGGTTCAAGTCCTGATAAGGTAACTGGATTTTTTCAATAGACCTAATCCTTCCGGCCACATTATGGCCTTGGGGTCGACTCAGCCTCTAACAGAAATGAGTACCTGGAATTAATTAAATAATTTTCCTGGGGGGTAAAGGGCAGCCGGCGCGTAAGGCTGACAACCTTACTGCCATCTTCGAGTTGACTGTCTAGATAATGTGGGACCCTCAACATATCACAACCCTATGGGCCTCGGAGGCCTGATACAGGGATAGCTTTACCTTCTTTTTCTTTACTACTCCTTCTTAGGTCCAGATATTTTCATGAGAAGAGTGGTTTCAGATTCCTGTAGTATATGTTCTCCCCTTAAACCAAGACTTCACATTTCACACCCATACAAAACAAGTGCAAAATTATTTGGTGATGTTTTAAGGTGAAAAGTTTTCAACTTAATAGTAAGTAAGTTTTTAATTTATTCTATTGCTAATTTTGTCATGAACCAGATTTCTATTTGTCAGTATTAAACACTGAGACAGTGACCACACTACATTTATTTGCATAAAGCCATTCTCCTGTAGTCATGACTGCTCACATCAGTAATTACACCTGGTATTAACTTGAAAGCTTCAAGTTGTCAGTTTATTCTGTAGTTGTTATCATCAAATGTGTTTATTAATTCATTCGTGGAGCTCAGCCCTTCTTGAGAAGCTGCCAATTGTGTAGCTACTCAAGAACTTTTCAGTATTCTAAGGAACCTGAAGGTTCATTACTGTGTTCACAAGAGCCCTCCACTGGTCCCCATCCTGAGCCAGATAGATCCAAATATCTAACTATAATGGAATTCAGCAGTGGCAAGAAATTACCGATGTCACCACATGTTGTGTGATGTTCTATTGAACTGGACTTTATATTATTTTAATTTGCACATCCAAACTTCAATAGTACTTTCCGTGTGCCACTGACTGTACCCAACTTATCACACACAAACACATGCCATATCAGCAACTTAGATAACCTATATAAACAACCCTCCTGTGAGAACTGAAGTTCTAACAGCAGTGACTATGATGAGTGTTGTCTTCTGAGATGTGATGCCATGAAATTTGATGATATTTATAGCTCTTTCAGAGGAATGTACTGCCTCCATCTTCAGGATCAGAGATGGAAGCCATGTGTTCTACCAAAACATGGGTAAACATCTATCAGGTTCACCTCAGAAGATCTCACCTCTTCAATATTGCTCCTTCCTATACAAAGTTACTATGCACTGATACAGTAAAAACAGAAAACTATATTTTCAGAGAGAGTGAGTGTATCCCAAATAATAAATGAACAATAACAAATTATAGTTACATTCACCAAGAAGTTAGGAGAAGATAGAATCTGAGAAGAACTTTTTACCATTCAGTTCTGAATACTCCAACAATAGGCCTCTGTGAACACTGTAATGAACCTTCAGGTGTAATACAAGACAGGTTTTTTTTCACCACAGCTGAGTAACTTTTCAATGCTTCAAGAATACGTCTGTTGGATTAATTAAACAAATTACTAGTGTCTGTAAATGCTGGATTGCAGAATGACAGTATGATTCAGTAATCCCATAAACTCTACTGAAAACCCTATACAGGAACTGATTTGCACACCTTACACATGCAATACTGTGTATGTTCTTCAGGCACGTTTGGAATAATCTGTGGCGCCTTCATTTATAACTTGTGACCTTTGTAGCATTTTATCCCTGCACATTATATGTAATATGTCATAATTATATTGATTCTGTACACATCTTGTACCTAGACAAGATGTGTAGAGAATCTACCTTTCTTTATTTTTATTTTACCTTTATCTTGCACCTAGACATGGAGTTTGCATGCTTAAAATTCCTTTCCTCTTGGGATACAAGATTCCATGGAAGAATATTATGAAATAGCTAGAAAACATTCTCACTTAGAAAATAGACTGATGTCCCTGACAAAATTTTGGACAGAATGTGAACTTCTCATGCCTAGCAAAAAAATATATGTATTATAAAGGTAAATAAAAAGGGTAATCACTCTCAAGTCAATAGAAATGACTGCAACATTTCAGAACAGAAACAGTAACCAGCAGAAATCATTTTTTCGACATTTGTTCTAAAATTCTGGTAGTGGACAAGTCTCCCTTGGCATTAATAATCTTTAGAAATTGAGCAGATTCAAGTGAAAAATGTCATTCTTTCTACCCCAAAAAGGTACTTACCTACTCACGGAGCTGAGCCCTACTTGAGGAGCCGCCAGTTCTTAAGCTACTCAAGAATTTCCCAGCATTTTATGAAACCAAAAGGTTCATTACCGTGTTCACAAGAGCGCTCCACTTGTCCCTATCCTGAGCCAGAACAATCCAATCCATCTACCCCAAAAGGTACAAATATTATTATAATCTTGGGCGGGTTACCACCATTCTGACTGGGCTTCACCGGTCCCTACGGAGGATACCGTGATAGCTTTGTTGGCGGCGCTCCCTTGACGCGAATTACGCGTTAAAAGTGTGCCTGACAGAACGGAAGATCATTCCTTCCCACTACATTCTTCCGTACCCGACATTCGTAATCGTTGTTATGGCATTTGATGCATAACAACCCCTGGACTGAAAAGCGTCCAAGAATCAACCACTGAACGCAACTCCATAAATACGGCGCTTTATCCCGCATACCGGCCGTGCTCGTTCATAAATTCTTCACGTGTGATACGCCTTCATTTTTTACTTACCTTATTATTTGGCAATCCACGCCGATTGCCAGTAGGGTAAGTCCACATACAAACTTGCTGAATGGTAGCATTGCTTGGTACCGGGGAAACACCTACTATCGTGACGAACGTGACCAACTCGCAACAGCACATTGGCAAATACGTACAAAAAAGCTTGGTTAACTTGCCCGTCACGGGCCGTGCTTTTGCGCAGTCGATACCGGTCATACCGGTCGACACATGTTGACACAAACATGATCGTACATGATATCAACAGGGAGCGGACCATTGGCAGAAGGACGCAGTGTTGTCAAACGAATTTCAATGAGTTTGTTCACGTCGGTTAATGTCCAATATCACCTATACCACCGTCAGGCAACGGCCGGCAAAGTTTGAGGGCATGTTTAGATGTGTTGCGCAGTCATTATGAACGGCCTACGGTAAAAGACTCCATAATCTTGAGAGCTGTGAAGAATGCAGTGCTTGTGAACCATTTAAGGTGCCGTAGAATTATTTATAATTTGTGAGCAAAAATATTGCCTCTCGTAGTTGCCTAACTCAGGGAGAGAAACCTGAGTTTTTTTCGGGTCGTGTTGAATGACCGCGAATTGGGTGACTAGGAGAGCACTCAGAAGTATTCACACACTAATGGCACTGATCGACAATTCTCTAAGGTTTTATCGACTGCACTGATGTTAAAGTTGGCACTAACTTCACCGACAAGCGGCGGTCGCTCGGTCGGTATAGTTCGCTTGCGGACTAAAGCCACGGAGTTTAATAGTGCTACGACACACAGTGGTAATCAAACTTATGGGTATCATTTTACTGAGGCCCAGTGGTCACAATAGTTCGAGAAAAACAAACAGGGAGTCGGAGATATGCCGTGCGCGTGTGCCCCTGTTGAGTGAAATTTTTGGAGTGTTCAGCCAGCATCTCTGAAGGTAGGCAACTGCCCTGGTTCATAAGAATTCTGACGAAAGATGTCACACTTCAGATTTTAATTGGCTGGACTGGGCAAGCTGGTAGGCTGCTTAATATGCCTGCTCCAATTAGAAAAACTCAAATGTTATATTTTAGCATCCCGTTGCATTGAGGCAATATCGTTATTATTAAAGCACCTGTCAATAATGCAACAATATAAAAGACATCTAGAATATGTTTCTCACTAAAAATGTAACTTTAATACTTTATGATGTTAAAACCATATACATTACTTAGACATTAAAAGTGATTATCAAATTACTAAAATGTCTCTAGTTTTATATATGTTTCTTCAGTTTACAACATGTTTCGGCGGCACATGGGCCATCATCAGGCAATTTTTCTTTTTGCTTCTGGGGAGACCACTGCACTGTTCACTTGTGCACTGTGCTCCCATGCACATCATTGTTTAGTTTTTATCTCATGACTAGAACAAACACTTTACGAATGTAATAACATACAACCATCCATGAAGTTTACAATGGAAAAAGAACAACACAAAAAATCAATTACTTAGATATTACTATACATCGAAAAAATAGAAGGTTTGAATTCACAATATACAGGAAACCAACACATACAGACATTATAATACCTAACAGTTCATGTCACCCATATGAACATAAACTATCAGGTATAAGGTATCTGCTGAACTGACTACACACATATCCAATAACTGGAGCATCAAAACAAACAGAAAAAAACGATATAAAGAAAATCCTACAAAAAATGGATACAGCACAAATCTAATTACAAAACCAGTACCACATAAACAAAATATACAGGAAACTCCATACCGTAAGAAAAACAAAATAGGCCATTTTTAAATATTGTAGAAGATAATTAAGACAAATAACTAAGTTATTCAAAAACATGCAACTTAGAATAGATTTTCTTACAAAAAGCACAATCAACAACACACTGAGATCAAAAAATATAACAATAATGGCATATATCAGATGAAATGCTTGGTTTGCCCTTTGAAATACATTGGTCAAACTGGAAGGACATTTAATTTAAGATATAAGGAACACATTCAAGTCGTTAGAAGTAACTGTAGCAAATCTGGATATTCAAACCATATATTAAATACGAGACACTCATATGGCAAAATGATGGACACTGTGGACATCATGAGGATTGGAAGGCAGGCATTTGAACACACTAGAGAGATATCATATTTACAAAGTATACAAGAGCAATTTACATATGAACAACATACACAATGAGACACATAACCGACTTTTTCAGACAGTGCATGAACTTTGCGATAGATAGCACTAGATATGCTACCTAGAAGGAACAACTATAGGAAGACCGCACAAGTAATACACAAGAGAAAGATGACACAAAAGTGTAAGTACACAGAATTGTAACATTTGATATATGAAAACAACACAAAGATATTCATACTAATCATACTAATACACATTATAGATTGCAATACGATAGCCGCAAAAGAATAGGACAACAGTCTAGTCATGGGATAAAAACTAAACAATGACATGCATGGGAACATGGAGGCTCCCCAAAAACAAAAGAAAAATTGCCTGATGATGGCCCATGTGCAGCCGAAATATGTTGTAAACTGAAAAACATAGGTAAACCAGAGACATTTTCATAATTTGATATTCACTTTTAATGTATAGGTTACACTTTCAGTGTCCTAATGGCATTTTAATAATTTTAACATCATAAAGTATTAAAGTTACATTTCTAGTGAGAAACATATTCTAGATGTCTTTTATATTGTTGCATTATTGACGGGTGCCTTTAAGTGGCTAGGGTTTTTGGGGGTGAACTGAGCCACCAGCTATATATCTGGTAAAGGTGAAGGTGTCCCTGTGCTTAACTAATTAAGCACTACACCACGAAGGCATATGGGGGAGTAGATGTATAGATCCACATTTTCTTGACCTCGGCACTAGCTGGAGGTGAGTGGTCAGCTTCACGCCCCTGCTGCTTTACCCACAGGGAAAGGACCCTGGGTACCCATTGGATAGGAGGCTGGGTGAGCCCCAAAAGCACTCTGGATGATATAGAGAAGAGAAAATTACGACCCTACTGGAACTCGAACTGTGGCCCCTCAGTCATCCAGCCCATAGGCAGTCGCTATACCGACTGTGCTACCCTGGCTACATATCTGACAAACTAAAATTTGGGGTGGCATGGATCCAAAAAGACCCTGCTAAGATTACTAAATGCCAATTTCTGATACTGGTTTCAGAACAACGTTCACATTCCATTTTGTATACTCATGAAATCAGTTAAACAAAACCTGCAGTACAGTCCATGTGGATAAATATCTAATGCATTTCTTGCTCAGAATTGTCTGACACAAGGGCCTGCTTCAGCACTACATAATAAAGAAAGCCAGAGGATGAAATTGTCCATAAAGAACTCTTAAGAGATAATTGTCAAAGTGTCATCAAGAGAACAGGGAACAAAATCTCAAAGACTGCTAATAAATTCTTTAGAAGTGTCTGCAATATTGAATATTTGGGAATAACATTAACAAATCGAAGGTATATTCATGAAGACTAAACGGATCAAATTCAGAGCATGCTTGTTACTGTTCAGTTAGCATTCAACTGCCTTCCCATCTCTTGCCTAAAAACGTAAATATTAAAAACATACTATTATCTTATATTACGTATTTTGTATGGGTGTGAAATTTGGTTTCTTGCCCCATTGGCAGAATAGTTTGTGGATGTTTGGGAGCAGGGAAATGAAGAGAAATTTGGAACTAGGAGAGAAGAAAGAATACAGGAAACTACATGACAAGCTTCATAATTTAAAGTCTTCACCAAATATTATTGTGATCAAATCAAGGATGCAAAAGGTGGGGCATATAGCATGTATAAGAGAAATGTACACAAAATTATGGTTGGAAAACCTGAAGTGGACAGAACACCCTGGAGATCCTGCCATAGATGAGATGTTGGTTTACAGAAATAAGGTATGCTAGTGGGAATGGATTCATCTCACTCAAAATAGGATCAAACGGTGGATTCTTGTAAAACAGTAACGAAATCTGGATTCCATAGAATGCAAGAAACATTTCGACACCTTGCAGAACTGTCTGAAACAAAGTCGAAGACCTGATTGAATATCATACTAGAAACATAAAATATGCAGGCTTCTGGTGCTCTCCAGAACAGAGACGAAAGACCAAATATAATGCCTCATTATTGCTATTATTATTGGCATTATGAACATGGAGAAATAAGTCCAAGAATGATAATTTACAATGTACATGATAAAACAAATGCACATCTCAAAACATCATATTGTCACATAGTATGTGTGGGGTTTGGATTGGTGAATGGATTGACCACTTACAGGTCGTAACTACAAATAACTATACACTATCGTAGATTTCCACACTTTACAAATCGCTAAATCACACAGTCTAGTGTTCTCAGTCTGTTACTATAAGTTTCCTGGTAATGGCTCCAACAGTGGCTATACCTCTGCCTCTGGCCCAAGTCCTCTCTTCACAGACTCCTGCAGAGAACTGACTCAGCTGACAAAGCTCCAAACCTCAGTTATAATAACTCGGCATGGATCACATAGAAAACACAGTTATTCTGTTGTGTGCATGTATGTTGCAGGTATTACCTAGCAACAGCTGCTGTTTAAAGTCACTGCTTAGCAACAGGACTATAGGCAACAGTATTTGAAATTGAAATTCATGCTTTCATTAGCATTAAACCGTTTTAATTATGCAGCACATACTGAACAATATGACTGGCTCTCACATCTACACAAACTGTTCACACTTGAATCCAAAACAAAGTTTCTCAAACTATGAACACTGTCCTAACATTTCCAATAGAGAGAGAGAATATTTTCTTAAAACTGCTTGATTCACTGGTAATCAACGATCTTTGAATGTCAGTACTACTTGTGTGCACTGAGGTAATTTCATAGGCAATTCACACTTTACCACAATCCCTTTTTAATACATTAAAAATGACATTTTAATATTTCACTACTTGTTACAGTAAAACTGTTTTACCTGTCTTAACTTTAGCCAGAATCTTGCAGTATATGTTTTTATGGACTGTTCCCTTTTATGTTTGCATGATGTTATCTAACTTCTGTGTATGTTGTTAAAACATACATGTTGAATTCTTGAGGCCTGGTACATGGCACAGGGTTCTGTACCAATAAGAAGTATTAACAGTGATTCATACTGTAACTTGTTTGGAAATCTTCCAACTTTCTGGTGATACACCTAAACTTTATTTTGACTGCATGCCTATTTAGACATTTGTACATCTTTTTAAGTATTCAGTTCAGCATTTGGATGTTAAACCAATCATAATCAAGTCTTGCTCAGTGGCTACAGAAATCTTACCACCGGTAAACCCAGTACTCTTCAGCAAAGTAATTCACATAATAACACAACTAGCCATCAGCAAAGTGATAAACTGAAATTTGTTGAAATTGTCCTTCACAAACAAGCTAATGAAGCTGTACCACCTAAAATTACGCTTTCCAATATGAAACACAGACAATAATAAAGTGCTGTAGTCATTCTATAGCATAATCTTACTCTTGTATCACAGTTTATGAAACTGTGGATCACAACCTTCTATAAAGAATCACAGAGTTCTCAGGAATTATTGAAACACAGTTGTATCTGTACACAGCTTTAGCAAGTTATGCGAGTGATCTGTGAACATGAAATCGATATATTTGGAAACCACAAGCCCTACAACTTCAGTGAACTCTTTCAAACGACCTATGCAGAGGAAAATGATCATTACAATTAATATGTTGCTGGACATTATCCATCATCTTGTCTGTTCTTAAAAAACCGTCTAGTTTTTTAAGAACAGACAAAATGATGGATAATGTCCAGCAACATATTAATTGTAACAATTTACCATCATCACAAACTTTTAGATCTTAAAATGATCATGTTTGGTACATGGAATGTAAGAAGTTTCTATAGGACAGGTTCACTGGCAAGTTACAAGAGAAATAGCTAAGTATCAACTTGTAGATTTAGCAGAGATCAAATGAGAAAGGGGTTGCACTGAACCAGCATGAGATTATACACTTTCCTATGGAAATTTGAATAAAAATCATGATTTAGGGACAGGATTTGTTGCGAGAACATCAACACTTAAATGGGTAAGGTATGGACTGGATTCATCTGGCAGGTTCTTCTGAAATGATAAAACTTTGGGTTCTATTCATGAGTTGCTGAGAAACTGTTAGCTTCTAAAGGAGTGCAGCTCCACAGACCCCTACATTACCTGTCTTGTTCTCCTTTGCAATGCAGAACCCAGTTGGAATAACTGCTGCTCCTGGAATCACTTTGAGCTTTGATATCAGAATCTCTATATTCTTTCTATTTTGGCCCACACAACTTCAATGCTATTCATGGCACAAAAATATGAAGTTCAAAAATAGTGTGCCAAGTGCCTAACAACTGTATGAATCCTGTAAGGTTTCTTGTTAGGCATCCTGCTAAGAATGTCATTCTTTTTGCAACTGATCCCCTTGCTGTGTAGCCATGGTTGGTCAGGCTCAGTGTGATGGTACTGTGCACCATCTAAAATGACTGCATTAGGTGTGATGCCTCTAATCACTTTATTATGCCATCTCTTAAAATTCAGTTCTCTTTGTAAAACCAACCACATATACACTGCAAAGAACACCCCTGGTGCCCTTTAAAAATCAGCCCCTTTTCTGAATTCCAATGACATAACCTTCCAAATCAGTTGCTGCCAACCCATGCTCCATCAATAAATACTGTATGTCCCTCATCCCAGCATTGACTCGGTCTAAGCCATTTCATCCTCCAGTCAATATCTGCCATCTTCAGCATGTTTTTATTCCCTTATCTTAATCACCTCTTTCAGAAATCTGCCTAGATTTTCTGTTCTATGGAATATGTTCTTAATAACTAGCAACAATTTTGTGAAAAATTATCATTTTTTGCAGTTTGGCCACGGAGAATCAATGGCAGTTTTTTATGTAGTAGTACTATGTAAAACTGTTATCTTCTCTGTAGATCCTTATAGAAATCTCTCTTCTACCATAATTTGTCTTTGATTCAAATAAGCATATATACAAATCCCCAGCAAAATATTCCTTTCTTCCCACAAATTAGATCCCCACTAGATCGAACCTTAAGTTCCACAATGTACACGGCACCAAAATGACTTCATAATTCGTGTACATGTACATACAGTGCATGAATAACATTCTATGTAGTTAATGCTTGCAAAAATCCAAAATGGAGCCCAAATATGGACCAGTGGGATGACTTGTGAAAAGGATCTCTGCATTAATTTTACCTCAAATTTAAAGAATGTAAACACATTACACATATACTGGAAACTAACTCTTTATTGCCATTATGCACTAATCAAATGTAACTTGAACACAAAGAGTGATAGCATTTATTCAATCTGTACAATACATGAATTAAGATCTGAACTCTAAATTCACCACTGTGTTGTACATATAGGGTTCATGCCTACACCACAACTAAGCATGAGAATGTGGTGATTGTACTTCAGATCAAATAGGTACTGAAAAAAACAAATGTCAGATCTATACATCAAGTACAACGTACAAGTTCTCAAAATACAAGTTTCTCTTTTGGCCAAGGAAATAAAGCAATAAAAAAGTCAGTTGAATTGGTAGAAAAAATTCCAAGTTTTCAAGAAAGAACACAGTGTGGTGTAATTAAAAATCTGCGTAGATTTCTCTAGTTCAGTTTCCAACCTTTCAAACATACGGTGCACTTGAGACCATTAGTTTTCTTCTAAAGAAAAATTAATTACAGAATGTGACTAATTGTTAGTGACAAACAATAGGCAAGAGTTAAATACCACAAAGAACAGGGTCACTTCCCTACAACATTTATTTCTCATCTAACATATACCAATAACTGCAGGCAACATATTAGTTATTCATGCTGCCACCAATCCAATTAAGTCTCCTAGCCCTTTATATAACTGGAAATTAATAATCTTGAATCTAGGCACAAGGTTTGAACTGTCACTCGTGCTGCAAAATTATAGTCAGATATTTAAAACTTGTACGGGAATATCAACAGTGTACTCAATTACCCGCACAAAACTTCCAGAGGATAGTCTTAATTAATACCAGAAAATGATAAACAGCAACCAATTTCACGTGCCTCCGAAAACAAGCAGCAGCTGTGCTACCATGTATTCAATTTTTCAAAACAAAAATGGATAATTTTAGTAAGAACAATACTGAACACAAACAAATTCCACTCTATGTACTGCTCTGTGTAGCATACAATAAGGCCCAGTTTGGAAACCATCCAAAATGCCTCACAACACTGAATTATACATCCAGTACTGTCAAGCATGCTTTGGCCAGATCTTATAAGATCTCTTGTAATATTAGAAAAATGAAAACCTTATTAACAAGCACTGTTCTTGCACAAACATTTTAGATTTCAAAATGTATACCAATTCACTATCCATTTCTAACATCCAGAATACACTTGTGCACCACGTTAAGAGAATGTAAACTACAGATGCTGCCAGAGACTTACTGTGGAAAAGAAGAGGGATTTTTAATCCCACTCTTCTAAGTTAAAGATCACTCAGTTACCTAAAATCTACTGGGATCTCCACTCATTTTACTTGTGTCCAAGTTTTAATTCTTTGCACCAAAGAGTTAGATGCAGGAATGTTAAGAAAAATAATCAGCAACTAGAAGAACACAATGTATGCAGTTTATATCCGATTCAAACTCTTCCATTAACGATGGCTCATAGTTTGAAAAGAACAGAAAATACCAATCGATGTTGAAAAGTGGTCTCATGTGGGTGCTGCAACATAAACTAACACCTTGTTCTTAAAACTTGGTCCCACTAAGACACACACACTCGCAATACAACAGGTTGATTTAAATTAACAGAAGTTTTATTTGTATACTGCAGAATTTAGGCAACTGCCTCAGGTTCACCATTGGTTGCCTTGGCCTCTGCTTCAGCTGGCTTCTCCTCCAGCTTTGCCTTCTTCTCTGGACTTGCTCCTTCAGCTGGTGTGCCTTCTGGGGCATCACCACCTCCACTTTTCCGTTTGGTGGCACTCACCTCCACTGAATCTGAATAAAAAAAGCAACAGGTAAGTATATACTTAATACAGCATAATAAAGGTTGTCCTAAAATATATGGGGTTTATCTTAGGGCACAATATTCACTGGATATCCAGTACTGGGTTTAAGCTTCATAAATACCTGGTTATAAGCAGTTCCAAACACATGTTCAATTCAATCTGGTTAACCTACTGTTAAAATATGTAAATATATGCAGTGTTCTTCACTTTAGCAGCACACTTAGGCAATAATTATCCAATCTTGAAAGGCAAATATAATATTTGAACTTTTCCCACTAGCATTTTCATTTTGTGCCTGACATGTTCATCCACAAAGTAACTTAAAAATGACATTCCTCAAATTACATCACTTAGAAATTGGCACTCCTATAAAGCACCCACACAAAATTTTGCAAAGTGTTACAACCAGGCATTCAAAGCATATTAGAAAAGCAACTGTCTGAACTCTTAGACTGAGATTCCAAGTAAGCTATTCAGAAAAGAATATATGTAAATGCAATGATCAGTATTTGAGGTACTGTATGTAATGTAATACAAACTACCTTATTATCCTCTTTGAAATATGAATTAACAAACTTGTGAGCCAAAATGGTTACTGCAAAGTCTGCAGTCTCCCACACATAATCAACTGGACATGGGCACTATTTGATGTTTGGAATATTTTATCCAGACCAATGCTGCTTGGTATTTTGCCACCCCTGAAATTGAAACACTGTTCCCATATGCCAGCACAATTCTTTGTCTACCCACTAACACAAAATGCACAAACATCCTATTAAGAGTACATAAATAACGGAGTCCAATTTTAATACCGAGAAAGGGGGGATGGGAAAGGCCCACTGAAGTAAACAGGAAATCAATAAAATGCCAATATCCAAAATAAAGACTAATCCTGGAAAATGCATCTCTGTTACAAAATACGAGTTTAATATGCTGTTGAAGCCAAAGCTTTCTCACATGCATTTCTATAACCACTGGTTCATCCAACAGATTTACCTAAGCAGCTGCTTTTGAGGAACATGTCCTCAGTGTTGGATGAAGGTTTATCATAAGTCAATCTTGAAAAGAAAGAAAGAAAAAAGTTAATTCCATACAAAAATCTTAGCTTCCATGAAACATGAATGAGCTATACATCCTCTTACAGGAAGCTCAGGCAACCACATCTGACAAAATTCCTATTTAATCAATCTGAGGAAACGACTTTTTCCTACATCAAACCATGGTTTTCACTAAATGTGGGTTGTGCAAAATTACACCAAGAAACAGTTACCTTTTTTAAAATTTACTGTGTATTACAATAAGTTAATGACAATTAAAAACCAATTCAATAAACATAATTGCATAACCAATAAATTAATTTCTAACAGAATTAATGACATAAATGTAATGGATGTGCAGGAAGAATTTCTAGCGCGCTATATGTGAACACTGATATTTGAGTCAATCACAACTGCACTAAACTGACGTCTGAGTTATACACGTAGGTCAAAAATTTCTTACATTACATTCAGATTATTTACTAAATCAAAATTCACTAATTTTGAAGAATAGTGCATCATTTATATTGGGCCCTGCCTTGGAGAAATATTCACTAAATGTCAGAATAAACTGCACCTTCCCTGTGCAATTAAGGGAAGCTGAACACCAATGCAAGACCCTGATACTGGAATTGAGATACTTGAACAAGACCATACAAAGGCACTTGACAGTATAGCACACACATCACAGAAACACAATCTTTGGTATGCAATTCTCTCTTAACAAATGTTTTGCCCTCCTCAACTGTCAGAATTTTCCACTACTTGAATTTCACTAGTACATACAAAACTAATTACTCAGTAGCTGAACCATAAATTAGCTATATTACAGTCCTACCCTCAGCCATGCTAAAGCCAATACCTAGAGAGGTTACTCTCTGTAATTTGTAATCATGATTCAACATTGCTAACACAAATACCATACAGTGGACAGTACAGCCTGATTCAGTCCAGTTCAACTCATTTTAATATTATCATGTCTCAAGCTTCATCAGTGCCGTGACTTGGTGGAAAGGCTGTCAGAAGCAAAAAGCAGTACACGCTTCACATCGGCAAACACCCATTATAACATTCCCAGATGTACTGTCTGCAGTGGTGAGTGCAACCATAACTGAACGCTCCGTGTATATTATTTGTTCATCACCTAGGTTCCATAGCCACCAAAACTCACTACACAAAACAGTGTTTATGAACCTGTGCAAGAAATATTGCATAACATTAAACCATGTGATCTGAGGTCATTACAGCTGTAACTATGAAGATCAGACTTCTGGAGTGTGACACCATGTAGCCCAGCAGCGTTCACTTTTCTACTGATGTGAACACGGAGGCAGTATGTCCCTCCAAAATGCTAGTAATGACCTACCAGACTGCACGGTATGACATTCCAAAAGACGGGAATCTTCATTCACTCATCTATTCAAATGTTATAATTTCTGTACTGGCTTATAACAGCCGCTGGAAATTAGAGGGCAGCCAGGAGCCGGTTCATCCCTGAGCTAACATTAAGAATGAGAACGAAACACACAAAACTACCACTGCCAGCATAACAGCAGAAAACTAAGAACCAGATTAAGTTCGGTCCCCACCAGGGATGCAAAAAAGCACAACAAACCACTGTAGGTCGCAGTGCAAGGGCCAAGGAGGCCTACCCCTCATACATACACATTCATTCAAGAACCAGATTTCATGATATGCTGAATACCGAGACCCTGAGACAGATGAGGTAAAATTAACAAAAAATATCAATACAAACCCTAATCTGAAGCAAATGTCACACAAGTACACATGTAAAACAACCTTTCTTTCTGAACTGAACACAGCATCCGCTATATGAACAGAATAACCGGCCCAAGTGTGCGATTCACCACTGCAAAGATTGCCCCAGTTAAAAAACACTGCCAACATTTGGGAAGCTCAAACCAAACATCTAAATTACATATTTTACAATTTCACTAGATCTGCATCTCTTAAAATGTTTGGTTTTCACATCTTAAACAAGCCAACACTTAGGCAGCGTGCACAAATGTGCCCCTCACTGACTTTAAAATACCGATATAAATAAAAAACTGAAGATTATAGCTTACAAACTTTCTAAGAGCATGCCTAGATTCATCTCTACGTGCCACATATATAGTGTTTTGAAAGCAGTTTACAACTTTGATAAACAGACTTATTAACAAGGGGTAAACAAAAGCAAATTCACCGAAGTGTAGACATACAAATTAAGTTCTGTGGTGTATCAGAGTTAGTTCGATGACTCTTGAGATGTAACACAAGAAATACCCACCTATACTTAATTTCCTCCCAGGTGGAATGTGACTTTGGCAACTGTGCCTGTAATTCTTAACTGCAGATCATCAAAATTTTCAGGTACAGTTGCAAATACACTTCATCCTTAATAAATCCCTATAAGAAGTCTTGTGCAGCTAAACTGGCCCAATATCATGATCACCTTGATCCACCAGTTTAACTCCATTACTATATCCCAGAGGGGTTTATTAAGGATTATGTGCCTATCTCTAGTGTAGTTAAATTAAGTCAAATATCATAACATGTCAAATCTCCAGTTTAGGATGCGCCATAGCTCAGGCAGTTAGTCGCTGGCTTCCCACTGTGTCAGCCCAGGTTCGGTCAAGTGGAATTTGTAGTGGACAAAGTGGCGCTGGGGCAGGTTTTCTCAGAGTACTTCGGTTTCCCCTGCCATCTTCATTCCACCAAATTCTCCATCATCATAATCACCCAGGGCATAGACCAATCATTGACCACCATGCCAAGTGGACCCAGTTGGGCTCCACCCCCACTAAAGATCTCCAGTTTGACCATACACTTTTAATTATAGTTTTTATTTACACCTGGGATGAAATGTCATCACAGGTGGAACTGTCATGTTACATGTGAAGACTCATTGAACTGTGACCCTAATGACATAAAACTTGTGCATTTGGCTATACTCTATATATTTAGTTCTTACCTACCACTTATTAATAAATGTACATATCTTCTTAAAGCTGTAAAGCTACTTTTGAAACACCCTGAATACACATGTCCCTGCACCCCACATACAAACTACACGCAAACAATTTTGTCACTGCAACTGAGTTTGCAATTCAAAACCTACCACTCATATTAGCTTCTTCACTCCACACTAGCACTTACCACTAATCACATTTTAAAAATAGAGTACATACAGGGAATTACAAAACATTGACCACAGTATGTATGAAATGCCCATTTACACTAAATTATTGTGGCAGCCCTATTCTCACACCTTAGCAAAACTACTGGCTCACACTGCCTCAACCAACACACATTCCTAACTTCCAGTATACCTCTGCTTGCAAAATCCTGACAGGCATATAAAGTTCATTATATATTAGCAAAGTTATAAGGCTGTTGAAATGGCTCTTCCATATGATCCACCCAAAACTTACAGGCTGCCTGGCTTTTGCTGCAACTGAAATGAACAGATGTACCTCCTATGTGCATGGTAATTTATGAGTATTCAACGGTATCCTTTGTAAATGGTAGCAGGAGTCTGAATGAACACCCCTATGGCATTCAAATTTGAAATGGCAAACACTTAAAAGGTGACATTTCCAAACTACTGCATGATACTTTGGAATTGTTCTTCTGGGCCCTTAACATACTCACTTTTAAATAAACTTCTCAATCTAATATACAATTCTTTATTGAAGTCCGTTGTAACACAACAACATAACAGTCAAGGTTAATATTACCTTAGCTACATGTTTAGACTGTTAAAACCATCATCAGGCGAACACATGATTACCATATTCACACACCATTGAACTGCAATTTCATTGCGACGGTAAAGCTGGACACTTGATAACTGTTACATTATAAAATTCAAGGTATAAAAGTACAATGAACTATAAACTTATTATAAAACGAAAGGTGTGTCCTAAAATGAGGTTAAAACTCTTCATGTGATATTGCATATCATGAAGTCAGTTCTTGCAATCCGTGTTATATTCCTGTGGACATATAGCGGCATATTCTAGACTTTTATACATACAGTAAACTGCTTGGAGGACCGTGGTATAGGTGTAGTATTTGACACTGTTTGACCGGTGCCTCATTTTACAATGTATTTTGTCCGTTTTATTGGGGAATATAGATTGCAAAATTGCAATCTATATTCCTTACAGAATGCACAAAATACACTATAAGATGAGGCACTGGACTTCATGTTCAGAATATCACATGAAGAGTTTTAACCTTATTATAAACTTTCGTTTTTTAATGAGTTTACAATTCACTGTATTTTATAATGAAACAGTTATCAAGTATCCAGCTTTAAATCGCAACTGCAGTTCAATAAACTTTCGTTTTTTAATGAGTTTACAATTCACTGTATTTTATAATGAAACAGTTATCAAGTATCCAGCTTTAAATCGCAACTGCAGTTCAATAAACTTTCGTTTTTTAATGAGTTTACAATTCACTGTATTTTATAATGAAACAGTTATCAAGTATCCAGCTTTAAATCGCAATTGCAGTTCAATAGTGTGTGAATATAGTAATCATGTGTTTGCCTGATGATGGCTTTAATAGTTGAATATTAACCTTGACCGTTATGTGGCGTTACGATGGACTCCAATAAAGAATTGTATATAATAACACAACACGATGCATGAAATGAAAATCTCAATCTAATACATTACCTTGCCACTATGAAAATATGTCGATGGCAACAGTTTTATACTTTTAATAAATAGACGATAAGGCTCAAATTGTGGACAAAATCATTTAAGATGTTACTTCTGCTATATGTTTCAGTCATTTATAAGCAATGAAACACATCAACGTTCATTACTAGACTGTGGGTTGGAAGTGGATCCATTGCAAACAGGCTTAGCATGTAAAAGTATTTACACAAAATTAATGTTTAAATATAATGAAATACTTGCCTAAAGTTAGTAAAGCTTATTTAAAATTGCTATTTTTTTTTCTAACAATTATCCTAGTATATGTATACAGGGTATTATGGGTGGAATGGAACACGAGGACTTTTACTTGACAATACTACTAGCAATGGATGCACTGAGACCCGCAGTCTAACAATGGAAGCATTCTGTTGCTTATAAACACCCGATGGTCATGACTGTCAAAAGCATGAAGCAAAAGTAAAATCTTAATAAACGGATTTTATCAAAGATTTGAGTCTACCATTTATTAAAAGTATAAAATTGTGACTGATGGGACATGTTTACATACTAGTGACATACACAACATGAAGCAAAACATACAAAGATTTTTCACAACTGTGTAGTAATTCAAGTTTTATGTGCAAACCATTTTTGATCATAAATGCCATGAATGTTACCTCCAATCTGGCATATTCTAAACTTTTGTGACCATGCAAAAAATACTCATGTCTTCAAGTTAAACATGAAACTTGGCAATTCAAACACTTCCACACCTCTGTGAATGAGAAATAGACATTTTCTATAAGATTATTATTTCCCTATCAAGAAAAATGGAGATGTTAGAAATAAAACTCTGGAGAAGTATACAAAACATTCTCCTAGGTCCTAGAACATTTCAAAATTACACATATGTCTCTGAACTACACTGTATGCATCAAAATTAATTTAACAGGTACAGAACAGATTTTATTAGAAGAATTATGAATTGAAATTAGGATGCAATGCACAATATACATGTGACCAATACTACAAATTCTCTACTAGATCCACTCCATTAACATAGTGGGAAAACTCCCTGCTAATCAGTACAACTTGCATAGTATTGATGAACTGTACTTAAACACTTTCGAACACACAAAATGTGTAGAAATAAAAAAAGTACCTGTGGAATCACCATTCTCTGCAGATTCAACCTCCTTGTCCTTTGAGTCTTCTGCAGATTCTTTATCATCAGTTGTTCCATTCTCTTTCGGTTTCTCCACGTCTCCATTCTCTGAAGCCTTAGAGTCTTCATCTACTACATCCACCTTCTTCTCAACTTCCTTCTTCTCTGGAGTACCAACAACTGGGGCCTCCCTGTGAAGGGAATTTTAAAAATTGATACTGCACATTTTAGTTTAAACATCTTCACTGCAAAAATCACGAGGTGCACTAAACCATTACTGGACACTCACAAAGCACAGTCCATTCACAACAAAACTTACACTACGGCCTGTTCCAAACAGTGCATATGCAAGTAGCTTCATAACAGCCTTGTGAAGAATGCTAAGACTCTTCATTATGTTGCACTTTGCGACTCCCAGGGAAAAATAAACGTAACACCTTTGCGCCAAATGACAGCCTTTCGTTCACAATGCAATAATACCGCTCCATCTAGGAGAGATTTGTTGAACTGAAGGCGCGAAAATGAGTTCAACGGTTTGACATCATTCAAATTCTAAAGGAAGAGATCAAAAATGTTTCACATTCCACGTCAGTACATATTCTGCACGACTAAACAACATATGATGCGTCATTTGGCACATCTTTTCCTAAATAATTCACAATACTATCACTGGGAATAATTACCGGCATTCGCAACACGTACATATTGGCGAAGAATACCAATTACAATGGGTATTGAATATCTGACGAAATAAAATCTCCACGAATTAGTCTGTAATTCATGTTTCGTAACCTCATACATGTATACTACCGCTTCCCCTTCAATGGCCTGGGCCCTTCTCTTCACCAGGAAACACGCCATCTTGACTCACCTTCCTCTCACTGCCCGCCAAAACAAAGACATCGTGATTCAGTTACGGATATTTATGTTTCTATGCAACTTGAAAATATTGTATGTACTTACTTTGTATCAGCCACTGTATCTGCCATTATTTAATAATGAAATTGGTTTAAATTTCCACGCTAAACACACTTATTTATAGAATAACACGGACAGGCCTCTTAACACAACCGCTACCTCCAATCGCACAAGTGAAAGAGAACTGTTCCGCGCATGTTCTGTTTGACCTTCAAACGAATTATTTCCCGCGTTTACCAGATGGCTCTGTCGACACTATCGGTTGGGGCAACACTTCAATAACTGTGTAATAAGAAATTGCTCTGTGCATTATTAAAATGAAATACGTCTTACAACTGCATTCTAATGCTGGCTGGTAATCATACATACGGGTAAATTTACGTTTCAGGCGTTGCCTGTATGGAGTACTCGACACAAATTATGGCATTTCCTATTGGCCAATAACAAGTTAGTATGAAACAATAGAAAGTGTTTCGTGATTAATATTTTCTTTTATCAAAAGTGTAAAATGAATTATAAATTCTAGAAGTGTAAACTGCCTCTGACAAACCATGAAATTAAATTGTGACTACTATGGACTAAGAAGTAAGTATAAGCATTAAAATACCCTGATGATTAATACATTTATTTTATGTTCCATAAATATGAAATCTGATGGCAGTTTCCTTCACTTAAGAAAGGTAAAAATCTATTGCATATTCCTAGTGAGAAATATATTGCAAGACATTTCGTTATTGTATTTTGTTTTGCTTCTTTATGAGTAGCGTAGTGCTGGTCGTTACGTTTAACGCATTCACTCACTCCGTACAAAACCGGTATACACGTTACATGAAGGCCATGAACCGCCCACGATAGTGGCAGATGGCCCGCTTAACATGTTTTCTACACACTTCACTTCTCCATGCCGGCCGGCAACCAGACGAAACCGCCGGGTCGGCTTGTCGACGTGGATTCTAGCGGGAAGTCATAGTGGAAATTTCCCTCGCTATTTTTCAAGGCTTCCAACGCAGAGTACGATCATTGGCTGATTTTGTGTAGATTCCCACCAATCACGAGACCACTGGGACTACCGGATGGAGATCAATAGTCCACATCTCTCTGTTGCTGTCTACCCGGTCTTTGCTTATATACTTCTCTTTCTCGACCAACTGGTCTCGTCCCTCTCTATCTACCTTTTTAACAGACAAGCCTCTTCGCAAAACACTTCGTCTTCAACTTCGTTTTCTTTGGTTTCTTGTTTCATACTCTTTCTTTCGTGTATGGAAACATTCAAAACCGCGATAGATTTTCTCTAATTATTCAGTACTTAACAGACAGGAAGCTGTACTTGTCTAACTAACGAAACCTCTATGTGGGAATGAGTGGTTAGCTTTACTCTCCAGCCGTTTTGCCCCAAGGCATCAACTGGTTAGGAGGCTTTGTGGGCCCAGAGCGAGTCTGGTGTCGGAGACCAACGGGAATCGAACCCCGACCGTTCAAGCCCATAGCCAGTAACTTTCCTGACTACTATATCAGACGGAAAGCATATTATTATTTTCATTCATCAGTAATCTGTCAGACGACAGGTCCACAGTCTCTTCCAAAACAGTTTCTCCACTTAATGCGATCTTCTGTTTTTGGAAAGAGACTATCCAGGAAAAGTGATAATGTGGTAGTTTTTCCATTTGCTTTCCACATCGCAGTACAACAGCCGTTCAAACCNTGTCCAGCAAGGGAGGCCCTGCCAGTAGCTACGCTACCGCTGGTATAGCTCTCAGGGTCCTTGGCATACTCAAACCCCCTCACCACGATAAGGCGGAGACACCAACGAGGGGGATTTTTATTTTACTTTGTACAAAAAATGAATATTCCATTCAAATTTCGTGTTCTTCGAAGTTTTGTCGTCACTCAAAATTTTAAAGTTTACTAGGGTCTTTCCAGCCATAGACGTTTACTAATATTTTGGTATTGTTATTAGATAAAAGATGGTGGATCATCTATAATATTCATATTAAATTTAATTAAAATCCTTCCGTTAGTGCAAAGGTTATTGAAGGAACATATTAGCATTGCATTAGAATGAGAGGAAATTATGTGCGGTGTAATGCATGCTTTCTGAGGCTACGGGCCTCGGCAGCTTGCTCAGTCTAGTCTAAGGAGAATCGCCAAGTTGCCAAAATTATTTAAAATATAATTGCACCCACGCGCAGTTTTGGTCAGTAAGTAAGACTTAATGTACTCGTAGATGCTTTCGGAAAATGTAGCTGTAGCTAGCGAAATAGTCCAGACGTGTTTTCGTAATTATACGGGGTTATTCTCCGACTTGCTGTAGGTTCATGCACTTATCGTGGAGCCTGACAGGGGCATAGTACAGTGAGCATAACTGAACTTTTCGCTGATCGACAGAGATGGTGGTAGTGGGGGGAGTCTAGAACTTCCGATATACGTGTATATACAGAATGTCCCAGGAGTTTGGTGCCATACTTCAGGAGCGTACTGAGGGTTCCCTATAGAACAACTTCCAAATAGGAAATACTTGTTGCATGTGACGTTATCCGTGAGACGCCTGGAATATTTGAAAGGGTGCGCCAGAGTTTCTTTCGTCGATGTAACGCATTCCTTGAAAATGGAGGGTGCCAATTCCAACATCTACTCTAGCAGGTGAGTCTTAAGAGTTTGGAGGGGGTAATATTCCTGTGCATGCTCTTCGACATTGAGGCGCCAAGTTCAAACGAAACGATTTTAAATGCGGCCCTAGCGCTGCTATTTTACGTTTGCGTACATGGGATCCTATTTCAAAGTTATTCTATAGGGAACCCTCAGTACGCTCCTGAATGGCTCCAAACTCCTGGGACATTCTGTATAAGGTTGACTGAGTTTACCCCACTAATGACTAACAAAACAGTGAATATGTTTACACGAATTTCGGTGTGAGGTCCTACCTGACGGATTCAACTTCGGAATTCCGAGGGCACTTCAATGCCAGATGCCAACTGGTCTGCTCTGACAATAACTGAACGCGTCAGTGATATTGGTCAAACCTCGGAGCGACTTGACGAACACGCAGTGCCCACAAGAAGATGGGTTAGACATTCTGCGTTAGTCGATTTCAATTCACATGCGGCGAAAGAACGAGGTGCATCCGCAGTGGCAACTTACCTGTATGGACACGGTGCCTATGTCATGATTAAAAAGTAAAGTAAATGTATCCCTGTTAATAGGCCGTGGAGGCCCATAGGGTTGTGAGATGCTGAGGTTCCCACATTTTCTAGACAATCGGCTCACAGATGGCGGTAACATTGTCAGCCCTTCGCGCCGGCCGCCCTTTCCCCCCCCCTGGCACTACAGCCCCAGTGGGCCTAGGCCTACCTCCATGAACGTCTCCGTTCACTTCGGTTTTTCTACATCTTACACATTCGGTAGGACTTCTTGGGCGGGTGATCAGCTCGTCGCAAGGCCTCTACCTGTAGACAAACACAGAAAAACGCACACAAACATCCATGCCCTGAGTGGGATTCGAACCCACGGTTCCGGTTTCCGAGCGAGCGAAGACAGTACATGCCTTAGACCGCTCGGCCGCCCTTTACCCCCAAGAATATTCCTGGTACTCATTTCTGTTAGAGGTTGAGTCGACCCCAGGACCATAGTGCGCCTGGAAGTATTATGTCAATTGAAATAATCCAATGACCTCATCGGGACTTGAACCCGCTTGTAGCATAGTGCCTCAACCAAGTACGCTACCGCTTGCCCCGACATTGAACGTAGGGTCCTGAAATTTCGTATGGAATTTAGGATATCATTTTCGAATATATATGATTAGTGCTATTTGTATGTATCTAGTATCTCAGATCCTGAATAATTGATAGTTATGTAACAATTTACAGAATCCGTCTTGTAAGGACACCTCTGTCACTTCGAAGAAGCCTAATCTGGCTCTTAAGTGAACGTAATTGCTGACCCCTGGTATGGGAAGAAGAATTGATTGGTAAGTAAGTTTACTTCTACATCTAACGCGGTAACTAAGGCCGTGACATAGCCCAGGCGGTTAGTCGCCGGCTTCCCCCTGATCCTAGATCAGGTCATGTGGACAAAAATGGAATTGGGGCAAGTTTCCTCCGAATACTTCGGTTTCCCTTGCCAATCCTCATTCTACCAAATACTCCATACTCACCTTTCATCTGGAGCTTGTATAATAGGCCAATTATTGGCCGATGTACCAAGTGGACTGTTTCACCCCTTGGTGACTAAATAATTGGGCCTAAGATCTTGAGAACAAACTTGAGTTACTATGTTTGGGAGCGGCCTCCGTAGTCTAGAGGTAACGTTCCCACCTCATGACTCGTGGTACGCGGGTTCAAACCCGGCTGAGGTCGTGGAATTTTTAAGGGCGGAAAAATTCAGGGAACAAGTCCTCCGGGAGGGACTTTAAGCCGTGGGTCCCGTGTCGTAGCTTTACGGCACGTAAAAGAACCTCATATCTCCAAAGGAGGTCACTGAGCCAAATTCAAGGACGTTTCCCGCCCAACAGTAGTCTCTAACCCCTCTGATAGATGGGGGAAGCATTATAGATACCGCCAAGCCTGTAGAGGCCGAACTCGCTCGGGACTGATGGTACGCACCAATATCGGTACGGTATAGAGACTGGTAGAATATCATAGAGGGAAGCACAATATATCAAACTGGTCGCGGTGCATGGAGAAACCCACCCTCTCCAATAACTAACTAACTACTGTGTTTGGGACATAGATAGGCACTATTCAAATATTGATGGGTGGAAAGGACTGAAAACTTTCCCATCATGAAGTTAACTATTCTGAGATTCTTGTACCAAAAGTTTTTTAATTTTAAGCTGGGTGATTTGTTTCCTGTTCTGTCACCTACTTCTTTGAAGGGACCCTATGAGATCTCTGTGGTTCGGCAGGGCTACGCAGGATCAGACCAAATAAAGTCATTCATATCCTTGCATGGCCCCACCTTTGGTTCGGGTAGCGTTCAACGTTCGTGTTAGACGGCATATTGTACTTTCCACCACAATTCTCCTTTATTTAAGAAACGATTTCTGGAGACGTCCACTCCAGCTATCTTTATCTTGAAGAAAGCAGTCTTCTGGGATTTGGCACCGTGTATATGTGGTGTTAACCGACGTTTTGGAGGAACTTATCGCCTCCATCTTCAGGGTAGAAGGAAAAATCTACAGTCTGCTTTCACCGGTTCTCACGGTCTCTTCGCTTGCGGATTTCTTATATTTTTCCTTCTACCCTGAAGATGGAGGCGATACGTTCCTCCGAAACGTCGGTTAACACCACATATACACGGTGCCAAATGCCAGAAGACTGCTTTCTTCATAGTCACCGCCGTGAAAGCCTCAAATCATACATATCTTCATCTTGTTGTTCCTTGAATAAAACGATCTCGTATTTAGATTTCTAATGTTTCAAAGTACAGACTTTGATCAGTCTATGGTATTTAGAAAGAAATCCCAAAATCATGCGATTGACGCTTACTTCTCCTTGACCTCAACGAAATTGTGATTCCGTATGTAAACATAACATCAAAATGGTGGCGCGTCTGCTTTGTTGGCTGTAAGAAAGATAAATATTGTATATTTGAAGAACGTTTATAATTAACTTGCAGTGCATGTACATGACCGTTCACATAAGAATTTACTCTAAAGGCACAGCATAGCACGGAACGTCATGGTAGAGCATGCTGCGTTTCCTGGGGGTCCAGAATTCGAATCTCGGTCCACGGGCTGTCTACCCGGACTGAGTTTGTTGTGGTTTTCCTTCGTCCTTCCAAACAAATTCCGGGAGAGCAGCTTAAATTATGCGACGAACGTTTTCTTCCGCGCTCTTTCCAATTCCTTATTCACAAATCAACCTAACGTTCGATTTTGGAGACATTATAATTAATGTATCAATTTAAAGTTTTGTTAAATAAACGACAACTAAATTCACTTGTTACAGTGGCAACATGTTTGTTTGCAAATACGTTACTCAATAAAGGCTGACATATATTTGTTTATGCCGCAGCCGTTGCCTAGCAGCAGGCGTTGTTTATAGAGTCATTACTTAGCAACGGGTCTCCATTCTACAGTATTATTCTCTGATCTACGCCTATGCCATCTTCCCACCAAATTCTCCAACTAAAATTTGGTATGCAATTCTCATTGCCTTCGTCCATGCTACCTGTCTTGCCAATCTCATCCTATTTAATTTCGTCGCCATAATAATATAATATTTGGTAAATATTCCAATTATTATTATTACTCATTATTTAATTTCTCCATCTTTCTGTTACATGTTCTCTTTCAGTTCCAAATATAATAAAACTCCGACACACGTATTTGTCCTAAAAGGGACTTGAACTCATGATTTGTGTTATGAGACGAACCAAGCATACGCTTGAGATAGCTCGACACGGTTACCGGCATAACAGTCAATTTAACTGGAAAGATATTGGAACATGTCTAGACTTCGGCTATCAGCTTTCACTTGCTCATCGTGCTGTTACAAAGCCTTCTCTATTCGGACACATTCTGTCCGACGGCGTTTAGCGTGCCAAAACAGGGTGAAGTGAAAGTGGTTTACAGCCAAAACACTGCAATAAGTTTCAAACTTAATTAGATGAGACTAATCATTTGGGACATTAAAATTTTTTCCTATATATAGCCCCATTTTATTTGCAATCTGTGGTAGTACATTCAGTAAATTGTTATGGTGTACATGCTACAATAATATTGTTTTAAATCTATAAATATTCGTGGAAAAATTGTGGTTATCAAACTATTATGTAAGATCCCTCTATTTGATAAGGCGTCTAAATACACACAAACTAAGTTTGCACCTTTCACTGTCTGTTTGCCCAGAGGCGATAAGAAGATGTGGTTTCCTGCAGAAATCAAGGATATTATAAATTCCATGTACTCTAACACAAACGAACGCAGTATTTTGCTGTTACATTAAGTCACTACAGTAAAAAACTTAATCCAAACAGAGTCATCAGAGGTCTAAATATTTTCCTACTTCAGGGAAGATAGCATATTACGTAGTTAAAATCTATTAAATACAAAATATTGCACAGTATACGGTCTCATATACTTGTATAAATGAACCACATTTCAAACCATAATTTTATATTATACTGTATATTACTGAGCAGCACGTATTTTCAGTTTCCTTTGTTCCTATATTTTCTTTCTCTAAAACTGACTTCGTGGGAACTGAGTCCTTTTTGAGAAGCTATTAGTCCCTGAGCTACTTAAGAAAATCACCGCCTTTTACATGGCCCGAAAGTTCATTATTCACGAGAGCCCGCCACCAATCCCAATTCTGAGGTACATGAATCCACACGTCACCCTCCGAAGGCTATTTTTTTTTTAATTTATCTGTATATAGTCCTAGTTCTCCGCTTTATCGCTTTTGGTTTTCATACTAAAATTTCTAATGAAACAAATCAAACTCCGTGATTTTAGTCCGCAAGCGAACTATACCGACCGAGCGACCGCCGCTTGTCGGCGAAGTTAGTGCCAGCTTTTTCGGATAGCGGGTGTCGCGTGGCCAGCGCAAAGAATCCCCACGACTGTTAATTTCGGTTTTCTAGACCGGAGCCGCTATTTCCTTGAAATAGCTCCTCAGTTATCATCACAAGGCTGAGTGGACCCCGTTCCAGACCCACTACTTCTCAGAAAAAAAAATGGTAGCTCCGGGAATCGAACCCGGACCTCTGGAATTGTAGCCAGGAACTCCGACCACTAGACCACAGAGGCGGTTAAAATTTCTTATGTACTTCTTATTTCTTATGTGTTGCTACATATCCATCCCATCTCATCCCCTTGATTTGATAATAATAATAATAATGTTTGGCGAATAGTTTCTCAATATACAGCATTCTGCAGCTGCTTATCACTATCCACACATTCCCCGCAGTACCCTGTTCCCAAACAGCTTCCCTATATGCGAAAGATAAAGCTTCATTCCCATGCAAAATAACTAGTACAATTATAGCAAATACTCTTACAATAAATGTTAGAGCAGATATATTTTCCGCTAAGTCCCTTTTTTATTTTCCGTTTTACTTAAAAATTCTTTTATTATAGGTTTTTTATATTGCTAACTTCATTCTCAATATAGAGAAATTTTCGAATAATGACAGGTTTCCAGTTAATCCAGGTTCCGTTTCATGAAGTCATGGCCTGTTTTTAGATTCGATTCCAGTATTCGTAAATAGGGACTGAAAGGAATTGAAATCTAGTCAAGTCCTGACTCAGACCGAGTTATTCCGAGCTGTTACTGCCTAAGGCAGCTTGCTTGACTGACTGTTCGCTGAAAGAAGTTAGCCCTCTCATTTCGCTCTTACTTTGGAAACTGTTTCATGACATTTTGAACACCTCATATGGCAAGTCTACGCTTTTTACGTCCACCTTTCGATTTTACCACTTTATTGTTGTTTATTATTATTATTATTATTATTATTATTATTATTTTCATTTCTCACTTCTTAATAACACTTAGATTTATGTTAATGAAATTATTATTATTATTATTATTTGTTTGTTTTTTGTTTACTTTTCTACATTATTGTGTTTTCCACAGTGCTTGTCTGTAATTTGTCTTTGACTTTATACTGTGTTTGTCTATAATGTAATTGCCAGTCACGGTAGCCGAGCGGTCTCAGGCATGTACTGTCTTCGCTCGCTCGGAAGCCGAGATCGTGGGTTCGAATCCCACTCAGGGCATGGATGTTTGTGTGCGTTTTTCTGTGTTTGTCTACAGGTAGAGGCCTTGCGACGAGCTGATCACTCGCCCAAGGAGTCCTACCGAATGTGTAAGATCTAGAAAAACCGAAGTGAACGNAACGGAGAGTTCCATGGAGGTAGGCCTAGGCCTAAATTGGGGCTGTAGTGCCACAGAAAAAAAAAAATGTAATTACGTTTACCTACACTGTGCTCTGTCTGTAATTGACCTTGCGGCTGTTGATTCGGCA